TTAAAATACTGAATCAAACGTAAGAAAAAAAACAAAAACAAAAAACGGCTTACCCAAGCGGAGCTGTCAAGCCATTATACTTAATCAAACGTTTAAAAAAAAAAAGTAAACAGCTTAGCCGAGCCGTCAAGCCATTTGGCTCGGCTCGGCTCGGCTTATGAACATTTTTTATATTTAAAATTTATCGATCATATATTTATCATGACCGTACTTCAACATTTCTAACAAATTTTAAATCGTTTAAAACGAATATTTGTAACTTAAAATATTGAATCAAATGTAAGGGAAAAAAAGGGCTTAACCAAGTCGAACCGTCAAGCCATTATACTCAATCAAACATATGAAAAAAAGGTAGTAAACGGCTTAGTCGAGCTGTCAAGCCATTTGGCTCGGCTTATGAACAGTAAAAAAGGAAGTAAGAAAAAAAAAAAGGTTTAATCAAGTCGGGCGGTCAAGTCATTACAATGAATCAAACATTAAAAAAAAAAACAAAAAATTAAACAAGCGTGAAAAATAAAGTATTTCCAACAAATCATTTAATGCCGACACTGGTAAACAAGCGAATATAGACTGCCAGCATGTGACACGCGTGGAATTCCAGGAAAGTACAAGCCATGCATGTTCGCCACGTCTCACGCCACTCGTCCCATTCCCTACTTATAGCTCCTTTTCTCCCTTAAATCTTAATTACAAAAGGGGTTTCTCCATTGGAGCATAATCTTCATTCTTTTCACGCTTGCAGAAACGATAATTGGAATTGAAATCTCTGTTTGTTTTGTCAAGACCCAGTCTTAATTTCCAACAAATATATAGGCGTTCATTATATCAATTATGGCTTCCAGAATCAATCAAGCTTTTGCACTTGTGCTGGTGTTGGTGCTGCTAGGCGGCGCCGCTGCCACTGGTTCCGACGAAAAATATGAGGAGTCCAAGAATGCTGGAGATAAGGAGAGTTCGGAATCGTGGACTGATTGGGCCAAAGAGAAAATATCTGAAGGGTTAGGGCTTAGGGCTGAAGAAGCTAAGGAGAATGCTAAGAGAACCTCTGATACATCCATAGATGCTGCGAAAAAGAGTAAAGATAAGGTCACCGAAACAGCTACAGGTAATTAATTAAGTTGCAAGGAAATTTATGAAATATTGTCGGTGTTAGCACGTCTTAAATTTAAAAATCTGTGGTTTCATTTAAAATTATATAGAAATTTTTTGTAATCAAACGTTAGGAATTAATTTTTGGTAGATTTTAAGCTACAGAAAGAGAGTGATGAGTGGGAATCTATTTTGAAAAAAATCCAGTTTCCTTCTGTGCAACCTAAGCTAATCTTCCAACTTAACTAGCTTATCTTTTCCATCTAAAATACACGATCAGGAGCAGGACAACACAGTGCCGACAAAGCCGGGGATATAAAGAATGCAGCACAGGAGAAAGCTACTTATGCCAAGGATATTATAGCGGATAAGGCAACAGGGGCCAAAGACAAAGCATATGAAACAGCAGAGGCTGCAAAGGAGGAGGCTACTTATGCCAAGAATACAATGGCCAACGAGGTAACAGGGGCCAAGGACGAGGCATATGAGAGCGCAGAGCAGGCAAAGAATGCAGCCAAGGAGAAGGCTAGTTATGCCTACGAGAAGGCAACAGATGCTAAAGACAGAGCATATGAGACTGCGGAGCAGGCAAAGCGGAAGGGCGAGGAAGCTTATGAGAAAAGCAGCCAGGCACAAGAGAAAGCAGCTGAGAAAGCAAAGGAAGCGAAGGGAGGAGCATCTGAAATGGGGAAGAGAGCAGTGGATGAAAGCAAGAAAAAAGAAGCCGAAGAGCATTTGAGTTGGGTCAGGGAGAAGGCGAAAGAGGGGTATGAAGCGGCTAAAACAAAGGCCGAAGAAACTTTGGAATCGGCCAAGGACACCGTTGCATCCAACCTCGAGGCTGCCAAAGAGAAATCACGTGAAATAAAGGACAGTACTGCGGGTCGCAGTCGGGATGAGGAACTCTGAATCTTGTTCTGTTTCTTTCTGTATACATTCATGCGTGTTATGTTCATATTAATGTTTTCAAGTAGGATTATGCCCCAAGTAAAGTATTATAGTTTTTCCAATGTAGAAGGTAAACTTTTGCTTTTCCAGGTCGAATAAAATGTAGTTTGGGTTATATGCAAACGTGGCTTGTGTTAGGAAATTTACAGCAATATACAGACACCAATATGAGGATAACCGAATCCAACAACTCCTTTAATCAATGACAGAGTTCAATAATCACCAGCATACATTGCATATACAGAAATCAGCATACATCAATGTTATCTAGCATAATCATAACATGGAGAAATTGACAGAAATCATAAACCATAGAAACTGAGAAACTGAAACATAAACGAGACAGAAAACCAAAGCAGAATGCTACTTCCCTTTGCATTTCTTCCTCTGATTTTTCGGCTGAAATGTCTAGGCTCAGGAACAGCCTTCCACGCCATGCAAATCACCGTCTATAGAGAGTGCAAGAACCAACCAGAACCAACCAACACTTGGCTTGGATCATCGACCAATCGGTCTACCAATAGCAGTCAAAATCGAGCCCTAAATCAAACTTAAACCCCCCGAGAAACTAACACCACCAGTCCCTATTTAGACCCAAGTGTATACAGGTATTTCTCACAAAATAGGCTTAAGGATTGGCTTCATGGAACGCCTAGATGAAGAGGAAGAGAGACGGACCAGAGAGCTTTCTCGAAGAAGAGGGAAGAGGAAGAGTCCGAAGGAAGCCAAACCCATGTGAAATATAGACTAGAAGTCAAGCCAAGAATAACGTGAAGTGTCTCCAAGAAGCAAGAGAAAATATCTCCCAAGAATTAATCTCAACCATCCAATTTATTCAAAGGCTAAAATTGAAAGTAGCACAAACCAGGTCAGCCCAATGGGTTAGGAGAACCACAAAAACCCACATCAGAGGGATTCCTATCAGTATGAATCTTAACAAGTTTGACTTTACCTTGAGACAGCTTCTCACAAATAAAATGATACTTCACCTCAATATGTTTAGATCTCTAGTGATAAACAGGGTTCTTACTAAGTGACAATGCACTTTGACTATCAGTAAGCATAATATGTATATCATGCATGAAATTCAACTCTTTTAAGATTCCTTTTAACCA